TTTTTTTTTAATATCGGCGGATTTTACTTAATTTAGTACCGCTAAACCTTACATATTATTTTATTTTACATGTCAAAAATGTGCAGGTGAAATTTTACAAGTTACAATCCGACGCTAACTCGATTATCCGAGATCTGCGGAATTACACGCACCCATTTTGGCGTGTAGTGTCCGCTGAAGTCTACACGTATTGCGTCCCATCTTCCCAACTCGGCCGGTCCGTATAATATAATATATTACGTAGCAGACATAGGTCGAGTCGAGATCTCGCGATAAAGAAACAATAATAATTTATCGGCTAACATCGAGACGTATATTGATGATAGGAATAAAATGTCTGCGGCGTAAGTCACTTAGTTACACAGCTGCAATAGTCCCCCAATAATAGGCCGCCTGAGGAGCAGTTGCAGCTGCAGCAGATCTCTCTGTTAAGTGCGTACCGGAGCACCCGTTTCTTTCTTTCACGACCCCTACCTCCTCCGCCCAGCGACTAGGCCCGTTCAAAACATATTCCGCAGCACACAACAACAACAACAACATAAACAATAATAATAACCTTACTTGGCCGGGTTTCAAGGTTATTGGCCGCAGCGGTGATGAGTCACGGAGGACACGTGTCGTTTTCCAACACCCCTTTCCCCGCCACGAACAAACTGAACCAACAACTGCTGCTGCCGCCGTCGCCGCCGACGCCAAGTGAGGACTAAGGACATGCGGCCGCCTCGACCTCCCGCGACCCGCTTCCACAAAACGATAGGCACAGTGAACAGAGGAGGCGGCGGCGCGTACACACGGCGGACCACGACGACGACGACGACGACACACGTTCGCCAGCTATCATTCGTACCGCCGCGCCATCGTCGCTTACACGTCCTGTCGAGTACCACGCGCCAACAGTACTGCCAGTACCATCATATACCATCGGCCGAGTGTGTCGTCCGTCGTTCGTCTCAAGTGCACCGAGCCCGCGATTTTCAGCCATGAACAAGCCGTTGCCGCCACCACCGCGGTACCCATCGCATTTGCTCAACTACAACATGCGCCGCCGCTCCGTGACCTACCGCTACTGCCCTAGTGCAGGTAAGTGTTTGTGATTGTTTATTTCCGTGTTTATATTATAGTGCTTCCGTCTTCAGCGGCACGAACCCGTGCCCGGCACAACCTCCGTTTTCCCAGATTCGCGTGCTGCCGCTTTCCACATTTTCGTACCTAATATTTATATTATGGTTGTGTATCGAATCCGATCGTCCTGTTTCCGAATAATTTCAGTTAATAATCCGGTTAATTCCTAATAATAGTAGATATACCGTTTTCTTACACCGTTTTCTTATACCCAATAATAAACAAATATGGTACTCAATAAATGTTCCATCGTCCTCAATACTCTTCATTATTTCTCGATTGTAGTTATCAACGATGATCCCCTGCAGTGGCGGTGCCAGATATTTTTTTATTGGGAGGGCGATACTGGGCCAAATTCTTTTCTGTTGGGGCATTTATGTATGGCTATTCGATTACACATTCATTTGTGCACACCATATTTTCAGGAAAGTATTGCTAAAATGCTTTGGTTATAATATGTTATGTTTCTAAATAACTAATTGAAAATATGCCTACTATATTATTATCACAAATTTGCTACAGTTAAACTTCAAATTTCCTCCATTTTCTTTTATTTATAAGCAACAATGCATAACTTTTTATTTTTTTTATGTATGAGACTTTAGAAATTATAACACCGCAACTGATGATACCCCCTCCCCTCTTCCCCCGGCATCAATTAATCAGAAATTATTGTATTATTATAATAATTGTATAATTGCTTTCAATGCGCGCTCGATATCCATTACATATAATTATTTTTATTTATGTGTGCTTAAGGTTACCTACTTATTGCCCTATAAGCGTTTAAACACTAATATACAAATTCTAACAGCAGATTTTGTTGTATCTGTTAAAACATTCCTTCGAACAGTGTATTATTGGAAACAAATCGTGAGACATATTTGTTTATAACCTGAAATATTTGTTAATTTATAAAATCACACTTTATTATTTTAAGTAAAGAATAGTATATTCATTATTCATATTATACGTACACACACATAATTGTATGTGCGTTTAGTGCGTAAGTATTATTATCTAGTATTGCTTATAGAAATGTGGATATTATGGATTTATGGATAATATGGATATTATGTGTAAATGTTTAAATCATGAAGTCATAAAAGTTAAATTTAAATTAAATTTAATTTAAAAGTTAAATTTAAGTTTAAATCATTGAGAATAACAAAAAATACTAAAAATATGTATAAAATAGAAATTGATTAAATTAACAGTGATAAGTGATAACATTATACCTAATATTAGGTATAATTTTCTCAAAAGTATTTCGCTGATTCAAAAACTCGTTGATAGGTTTTTTTACGCGGAATGCTATTTCGTATCAATTAAATTCGATGTTGGGTACTTATTTACTGACTATTATTCGAGTGGGTATGTGAAGATCATCAGAATATTTTAAAGGCGTTTTAGTATATTATATGGTACCTATTTATAGTATATATTATGTACTATATACTATTAATATATATATTTAATAGGTACATTAATATATTATTTCCTATATTCGAATACTAATCATGAATAAAGCAGCACTGGCGCTTTTCCGTCACAGGTTTTGTATTATTATTTCGGCTTTGCTTTTTTCATGGGGGCAGGTGTATTATTATGTGTATCTATGAAAATAATTATTTGACCGGGTTGTATGTTTTTATATATATTTAGGAGAATTTAAATGGGGACTTGCTCGTAAGCAGCGCGTTATTGAACAAGACGTGACAGATCTAACCAGGCGTTTTAGTGGATGACTAAAAACATAAAACTTTAGCTGATTATAATTAGGTGTAGGTACATATATCTGAACCTATGTATATTCGCAGGATGGAGAGTAAATACTATACTCTATTCAGAATAACCTTGCCCACCCGATCGACGAAAACTCGTCGAGTTCGCGCATGTCTGTTGCCACCGTCGGCGCTGATGTCGACTGTGCTGCTGCCGCCGACGCGCTGCAGCTGTATACGTAGTGAACTATAGTATCCACGTTACTATGCCACAAGTGGTTTACGCTTTCAGTCCGTAACACATAAAAACACCGCCCGCCTTCCGATATTTGATCTCGTTTTTTTTAATACTATTTTGTGAATTATTCATCCAAAATGGCAAGCAGTTCTGACGAGGATAATGCTGAATATGGCCCATCACCAATTAAAAAGCAGAAAAGTGGAAAAGTGAGTATTATATGTATAATATAAAAATTCCGAGTTTATAAAAAGCATGTTTTTTTCAAAAAAAAAAAAAGGTTTTAATCGATTAAAACATGTTTTTTGTTTGAAATGTCTTTCAGGACAGCATTTTTATTAAGACTTATTTTTTAAATATTTTTATTTCAGGCTATAAGTGAGGATTTAAGAATCCGTATTGTTAATATGTACAAAAGTATAATAATGGACGAACCTAACATTTCCATGAGGCAAATTCGTAAGCAAATTTCAGAACTATTGTCTATTGGCGAACGTTCAATCCACACGATCATTAAGGCTTACAATGAGACAAAGACGGTGCCAGTCGCAAAAACAACACGTAATAAAAAATCATTTCGCGATCTTTTTGACGATTTTTCAAAAAACGCAGTACGTAGGCATGTGCATAGCATCTGGTTTCGCCGTGAAATTCCTACGATTGATAAAATCCACCAAGCCGTGTCAGCCGACGACAGTTTGCCAACAGTATCGCGCACAAATTTATTTCATCTTTTAAAAGATTTAGATTTCCGTTACAGTAAGCGAAGTAGGAACAGTGCTATGACTGAAAAAAATGAAATTGTTGGGTGGAGAAGAACGTATTTGGATAGCATTAGAAAATACCGGGAAGAGGGTCGACATATTTATTTTCTCGACGAAACATGGGTGAATGCTGGCGATTGTACATCGAAAACGTGGGTCGACACAACAGTACGGTCTCACCGTGATGCATTCTTAAAAGGTCTATCGACAGGTGCTGTTAATCCCTCTGGCAAAGGGAAACGACTTATTGTTCTCCATATCGGCTCTGAAGATGGTTTTGTCCCCGGTGGTTTGTTGTGTTTTGAATCGAAAAAAAATACGAGTGACTACCACGACGAGATGAATGGGGACACATTTCGTGAATGGATGGAGGGCACTCTACCTCGCCTAAAACCGAACTCCGTAATTGTTATGGACAATGCGTCCTACCATTCCGTGAAAATTGACAAAGCCCCAACATCGAATACACGAAAGGCGGATATAATTAAGTGGTTGGAGGATAAAGGAGAAGTGGTAGACCGAACTATGGTTATCCCTCAACTTTTGCTCATAGTGAAACGTTTAAAACCACAACATAATAGGTATGTTATTGATGAACTAGCAAAAAACAGTGGTTATACAGTATTACGACTCCCCCCATACCACTGTGAGCTTAACCCCATTGAGCTTGCTTGGTCATCAGTGAAGAACTATGTTCGAATGAACAACACAACTTATAAACTTCCAGATGTAAAAAAATTACTAGTAGAGGGCATAGATCGAGTTGACTCACAAATGTGGAAAAATTTTATAAGCCACACGAAAAAAGAAGAGATAAAATTTTATGAGGTCGATAACATAATAGATGAGATGTTGTCCGCGGAGAAAGATGATTTGTTGATGACTATTACGGGAGACACATCTTCTGAAACGGATTCCGATACTGAATAATGTTGACCTTAATTTTTATAAATATAACTATAATTTTTGTAAATATAACTATAATTTTTGTAAATATAACTATAATTTTTGTGTATATAACGATAATTTTTGTAAACATGAATTTGATTTTTGTTAATTACTGTTTAGAAAAAAATGACTTTTTTAGAAATATGAGTAATTTTTGTAAATATAACTATAATTTTTGTGTATATAACGATAATTTTTGTAAACATGAATTTGATTTTTGTTAATTACTGTTTAGAGAAAAATGACTTTTTTAGAAATATGAGTAATTTTTGTAAATATGAAGTTGTATTTATTTATTAGTTTTAATTTCCTTCTTAAATTACATAGGTATTAATTACATTGGTACTGGGTTTTAATAATAATTGTATACTACGTAAGCATTGTGTTTGGTACAGAAAAATAAGGTAAAAGTACAAAAAACACGGTAAAGGAAAAAAAACTATACATTATAACATGATATAGGTAATAATTATTAATTATTACGATCGTGTTATTATGAACATCTGTATATACGTCGGCGGCTGTCGATAGCGACGCATGACGGTAGCGGTCGACAACTAACGACCAATCACAGTGCACCTGACTCTCGCTGGGGGGTCTGACGACTGCCGGCGGCTCAGTTGCGTGCGCGAAAGTGGGCAAGGTTATTCTGAATAGAGTATAGACATTAAGACGTGAAACAGCAGTCTGATATGTGTGGATGCGCATTGTGACAATCTAAAATATTGTATGAAACACTGAAATAATACTAATTTTTTAATTTCAAATATAATATAATATTATGTACCTACTTGATATAGCTATGCAGTGTGTAGCTTGATAACTATTTATTGTTTAATTAATATTTCTAATTAAAAATGATACTAATGGGATTTGAAAGCTGTGATTTCTGTCTTTGTATATCACTATACGACTAGAGTACTGAAATAAGTTTACCAATAAATTACATATGAATGTTTTAAAGTTCCAATTTTTCTTGTTTACATTATTGAGACTTATAGAGATAAAACCTCATATATGAAAATTTTAAATAGACTTTACGAAAAATTAAAATCGGTTTTCAGAATGTTTATCACATCATATAATCAATGAGGTACCTATACGCAGGCCCGTATACCAAATCTTCAATTAGGGTGAACCTTTTTTTTTTTTTTTTTTGGAAGGGGGGCTGAATAAAATGCATACCATCCTAACCATAACATACCACTACTTAAATTTAATTTTTGTTGGGGGTAAATTATTTGGTCCAGTGGGAGCGGAAATGCCCAGATTGACCCCTCTGTAAGTCTGTACATACTTTGAAAATAAAACACGTTTTTTTATCATCAAGCACGTGCAATAAACAAAGTCAGAAAAACACCGCTTCTAATCCACTGAATTGTAAAAGAGATAGGTGTTAAGCTCTCGAAAAGTTCCTGCTCACCATCGCTAATGTTTTAATCACATCATGGATGTCACAAATTCTCAATATTCTTTGCAAAATTTCTTAAAAATTGTTTTAGTGTATAAAATACATAATATAAACATTCCGACAAGCTCCGTGTAAAAAACGCCAGGTATAAACGGCTCTTAAAGTTGTGATATAATTTTATAGCTAAGGCTTTGAACTATAGATATAATTTATGTTAAAATAGTCTGCTAAATAATTGAACTTAGCTTGGCGACTTTAAAACACTTAATTAGTAATACAATACTTATTTCAACCATAGTAGACTATATTATTATGTACTCATTATTCAATAGTATTTATAAATTTGATACTTAAGAGGACTTTATATGGACATTTGTTGTCTCCGTAGTCTTACAAGTGCGCTTAACATACCAAATTTTACGCTCAGAAGATCACGTTTAGCTCCGTTAGTTTAAAATTTAGAGTGAATTGACTTCTGATACAATTTAAAGGTAAGATTATTATCTAGAGAATATCTTAGGCTTTTTGTTATATTTTGATTGTAGAGCGAGTTATGAGTATTTTAAGATGTACAGCAAATTTATAATTTTAAAACCCTTAAAATGTAAACATAATAAAAAATCCTCTTACGATAAATATATCTTATGTTTAAATTTTATAAGAGGTCAATTCACCCTAATTTTTAAACTAAAATGTTACGAAATATGACGGAGACTTCAAATGTCCGTGTAGCGTCCTCTTAAGTCACCAAGCTAACTTAATTTTTGTAGCAGACTATTTTAACATAAATTATATCTATAGTTCAAAAACTTGGCTATACAATTATATCACAACTTTTAGAGAGGTTTTTTTTTTACACAAAGTTTGGTAATAATATTATTTGTTAGTCATTGTTACGTGACTATAAATAAGAAATAACGTGCTTTAAGATAGAATATTATTACCTAAGTAATAACTTTTTGTAAAACACTTTAAACACTTACGTAAATGTATTATGTTGGTTACGGACAAATAGGTACACTACAAGAAATACCTAGTTTTAAATTTTAATAATATGATATCGTGATTTAGAGTGAAGCTGCCGCAGTGACGAGAGTTGTGAGATGGATAAGTGGTGGGTCGGGGGGACAATATTATATTTCACGGTATTTTCGTCGCTAACGAAAAATCGGACCTAAAAGTAGTAAGTACTTAACTATTTTTGGTTGTAACATTTAAGCCATCCAACCAATCTGCTTGTGAGTTCCCCATCAGCACAATATTTCTTATCGATTGATACCTTATAATATGACCTTATGTGTTCAGCCACTTGGCCCTGTCCCTGTGGAGTGTGCCAGGGATTAGCACAAATTAGCACTGTTTTTCAATGGTAAACACTGGCTACTGTTAATATACGTTAGTGGCTACTATAGCTTATTTTTTTTTTATTTAGCTTCGTGCTACTACCGTCGATCTGGATATGTACCTATTTTGAACCTAGCTAGGTTATCTAGATTGTACATAGGTAGGGTCCATACATAATATTGTGAATTATAAGGATGATAGATTTGTTTCTTATTGTGTAGGTACTACGTATACTACACTATAGGTAGTCTATATTATAAGCATGCTATTAATTTACTGATGTTTCACACTTATCTCATAGTTTAGACTTTAGACTAAATTAGTTATTGTATTTTCCAACCATAAACCATACCTAATGATGTTAACACAGTACACACAACTTAAAATAAAGTCTATAGTTTAGACCTTAGGGTTTAGTTCTTGTCCGTTGATGTGTATGTACAAAAAACAACAAGATTATTTATTACTGTTTAAATATTAATTGTTTATACTTCGGTTATAATTTTAATAAAATTACTATAGGCCATACAATTACAATCCTATCGTTTTCGATGAAAGAAATAAATACATTTGGCAGTACATTATTATTTGTTGAAAACATACTATAGATTTTGCAAAATATAGGTATGAAATTATACTGTTAATGTGTTGATAAAGGTAATATACTGTATTACAGGGTCAAAAAAAGGAGTCAGTCAACTAAAAGCTATTCCGGAATACACTGTTAACAAGCAGAGGTAACTTTTACAATTTTTATTTATAACAAAGGTACTTATAAACTCTAAAAAAAAAAATACTTAAAAATATGCCATTATTTAGCCCATATATCTATTGAAAATAGTTATTTATTCAGTTGATTCTGCCACTTATACCTTTGAAACAAATACCTATAGTATTAGGTTAATATGTTATATGTATAGTTTCGGAAAGTTATGTAGGTGCCCATTATTATATAATTACTATCCAAACCTAATCTAAGTTACCTATATAATAGTATGTTCATATATAATTGAGGTTGTAATAGAATCAGCAACATTAAAAATAATATATAGATATCAATAGTGATGTTATTTTTTAAAAAATAAATTAATCTTTTAGTACAATATATAAAAATACATTTTATTAAATTTATATCGAAATAAAATGTTTAAAATTGACTTTAGTAATATAGTCTAGGAGCTACTGATGGTTTTACCTCACCCATTTTAGATTTCTTAAAATTTTTATAGCTAATAGAATCGGGCCTACTGAATATGATAGACAAATCGGCTGATTCGCAGACCTGTTCAGAGGGGGAGGGGTATCTCAAAAATCAACTGACTTTAGCGCCTCCACCACTAACACCAAATAATTTGAAATCATTAATTTATGTTAAAACAAAATCGGCTGACGAAAATTCTGATTCTAATTTTCTGGGGGGAGGGGGGTGCAAATGCAATAACCTCTATGGGTTATTTTAAATAAATAGTTTTGTAATGTGGGCTGTAGCTTACCCCCCCCCCCCCAGAATTTTCACCATAGTTGCTCCTATAAGTATAGGTAGTATATTACCTATGTAAGTAGGTACCTATACTAATAAATTTTTGTTATGACTACCCTTTAATAACCGATTTGTTACCTTATAGACAATATATTCTATATTTTTAATTGTATTAATTATTTGCTCATTTTAGCGAAGAATATCAGACAACTTCCTGGAATGTATTAGAAACCTCTATATCTAATTTAATTAAGCATGTGGATTCAGATGCCAAAGCCTATGCAATTAAAAAAAAGATTGTACGTTTAAATATGTGGCGTGGTAAAGGTATACTTTGCAAGAATATTATGGAAGCTCAGTTAAATTCAACCAGAGATACTCGCATATATGCTTTGTTTATTTCCCTTATCTACGATGAGGTAGGTAGCTTAACTTTGTTCGATATAACACAATTTTTAATAAATTTAATTTGGTACTTTTAGGTTCCATCAGTAGGAGAGTTACTTTTGGCACGATGTCTTTGCCAATTTTGTGATGCAAATAAGAAGAAAGAAAAATGTAAATATTTAGCATCAGTTCTATTTATTTCGTACTTGATTAATTACGATGTAGTAAGTTTCAAACTGTCCTAATATTTTGAAAATGTTCACACTTACAAATATTAATCCGATACCTACAGGTTGCTCCGATTGTGGCAATAAGATTATTACAGTTTCTCGTCAAACAACCCAACCAGGATTCAATTGATGCATATTTTGTGATTCTAAATACATGTGGGCATAAAGTGATGGAACATTGTTCGGCAGACCTCAATGAGATTTTAGATACTATCCAAGAAAAATCGCTGTACAATATACGGTTTTTCAGAAAGGTAAATGGTATCATGATAATTATTGTTTATTTTTATCGTTCAGTTTTAAATAATTTATGCATGTGCACGTAGAATGTCTCAACAATTTAATATCCAGGAACTGTATTACGTTCTTGTGCTAACTATTTCTATATTAACCTTGCGCAAAGTACAATTCGTATGATCCTTTTAACTTACCTACCTAGTAACTACGTTTGTATTCTAGCATAGTATACATTTACACCAAAAGTGCGTAATAAGTACACTCAAATTTAACAATTAATAATGGCCGATTACAAAAATTATTTAATTTGTTTTAATTGTTTTGTCGGCGTGAATTTCAATACAATACAAAAATACTATAATATTATTTTACTATTGATGAAATATATTATTTTAATATAATAATATTAAGTACCTAAATAATCGATTTCATGTTTAATGTCAACTTGAAATTTTAATAGCACATACTTTAAGATATTTGTGGTATTAAATGTTATTTTAACTGATAAAGATGTTCAATAATTAATAATAACTTTATTAAAAATAATTGGTTTGTATAATATAATAATTATCAAAGAGTTATACTATATTAATATAATATATTGTTTATTTTGTCAATCCATTCTTACCTAAATATTATTTAGTGCAATAATTTCTCTGCACTAGCTATGAGTGTTATACCTATGACTTATGAGTTATGACTAATGATAATATTTAATGATAATAATTTACTATATTTTAGATTACACATATGATGCACGTATTAATAAAAACTGTTTCGCTTAAAAACGGCAAGCCTCCTGCGGTTTCGAGAGTTCCTTTGAATATTTCTTTCAAACAATCACTCATTCCAGATCAATATTTGGGTATGAGTCTTACTACCTTGTTCTTAATACCTCATACTTACTTTGAAATAATAGTTTTTATATTTGAAATTAAAAATTTGTTTTACAGACTCTTACTTTTACGATCCAGATTATGAAGCCTGTGAAAAAATGCATTCATTATTTCGCGAACAAATATTGGGAACTGATATTAAACATGAATATGTATTAATGTACGATTATAATACCTATGGTGCAGGAAAAAGTAAGTATTTATTTATAAAAGTTAGTTATCCCAAAACCGAAACTACTACATTCATAAATCGATAATTATTGTACTTATACTAATACAATGTGGTCGGGGGAACCTTGTTATCCAAAGAAAGTTTACTATTCCTTGTGGATAAGTTTTCCGTAGCTGGGGGTTAGAGTACTGTGTATGAGATTTTATCAATAATAAGACACGTTTAGTTTAAACTCCTATAGTAGGTAATTGTTATATTTAAAATAGAACTTTACTGTCTTGGAAGATGGCTGTTAATAAGTATATCAGTGAGTTCAATCACGTTGATGGTTACTGTCAAACTAACTGCCATAAGTCATTTTAATAGTCATAATTTGGATGGGTCGAAAAGTGTTGGGTGTGTATATTTGTATTGGTCAATCTTGGTGTGTGATTAGTGTATACGATATATGTATATAGGGCTTAACGAATAGTACCCTATATTACTTATATATTTACCTGAGATAAATTTAAATTACAATTTTATAGAGTCACAAACAAAATTGATGGTTAAGCGCACAGGAAATCCAAAAATCGACAAAAAATCGAAATTTTTAAAAAACGTAGTAAAAGTCTTAATGGCCTCAACATCATTTAAGTATGAAAAGTGCGCTTCTCAATTAATGAAAATAAAATTGCAACCTGGCCAAGAAAAAGATATTTGCTGTGTATTTTTGGAGCTTTGCTGTGAGAATGATGATTATACTGAGAATCTTGGACACATAACACAAGTACGATTCAGTATACATTTATATCGATCTTTGTTTACTATACCTAATGTCCTAATGTATTCTATGTATACGTACCAAATACTAAGAAGTAAGAAATAACAGTTATTTTTAAATGAAATGAATCAGTACTAACCAGAGTTATTGAGTTTTTAATTTTAATATTTTAAGTTACTTTGATTGTAAAAATATTTAAAATCATTTGTGTAAAATATTTCATTAATTTCATAAACAATTGTAGGTATAAAATTATTTTGATTTGAACAACTTATAATTATAGTACGTACACATAGAAATACGAGTAGAATGAACTGATATAGATACAATTGTTGAAAAGAATTATTGACCTTTCACGTAGTATCTATTGGCTATTATGTGTAAGTGTAATGTTTTCATTTTAGATATTTTGTCAGCTAAACAGATTGCTAATTGAACAGTTTGAGAAATTGTTTGTTGACACATACGCTATTGTCAATAGTCTCGACAAGATAAAATTACAAAACGTTGCGAAATATTTTGCTCAACTGCTATATACTGACACAATTTCTTGGACGGTTTTGTCAACAATTCATCTGAATGAAAAACAAACAACAGCATCTACCGGAAATTTTGTCAAGCATTTGTTCTACGAGTTAGTTAAACATATCGGAGAACACAATATGAATTATTACGTTACAGATCCGTAAGTAATAAATTGTTTTACTTTATACAATCTTTATGTTTTAGGCTAAACAGGGGGTGAACACCGCATCTACTTATCTCCCTTTTTATCCTTTAATAATGCATTTATTCAAATTCTGCTTTTAGGAAATTGGAAGAATATTTAAAGACCGTATTTTCAAATACTTAGATTTGTATACCATTTAAGGAGTGTCGATACAAATTGTTTTCAAATGAAAACCCCCATTTTTACAGTGAATTGTTAAAAATGTAGATTACAAGTGGGTCACTGTAATGGGTGGTGTTAAATTTGAATTCAATGATATAATATCATTGCATACGAAAATCGATTCTTAGCTAATACGGTCAATCAGCCTATGATAATATTTTATTTACATGTTTAGGTGGAACCTTGTTGAACATTTTATAAATTTATAATAATAAATTAGGAAACAAAATATTTTTTTAATTCGATAAATTTAATCAAAATTTGAACTTTAAATGCTGATAAAAAATGCGTGAAAATTTATTTGTAATATTTTTTAACTACTATTGTAACATTATATAAGGAGTCTTGTATATTAAATTTGCATGCTTTTTGAACAAACAAATTAAATGTTATTGACATTTATAGAAAAAAAACTAAAAAAATTCCCTTAAACAGCTAAAAACAAGTCAAAATATAATTTTATGTTGTATAGAAAATGTTAATACAAACATTCAGTGAATATTTCATGCATTTACGGTAATTTGCTTTAGAGTTACATCAAAAACTAAAATCGATTTTGTTGAAAACCAATTTTGCGTAAAATATCCCGTTTTCTTAATTTTTTTTTTTTTTGTTTTTTCCGGCTCTTTTGAAAATTACTGGGAATTTTAAATTTTGACCTCCTTAGTGCACTAACTAGATTCACTTTCCTACAATTACTGAAGTTGAAAATTGAAGCATTATTTTGACTACTTTTCTTGTACATAGAAAAAAAACACAAATCATTGTAAAATCAATTAAAATCATTGCTCCGCTCACAATCTAAAATTTGAGTGGGAGTTATACTGTGGGGAATGATTTTTTGACTTGAAGTAATTCTAAAGGAGCAGAATTAATGCTAAGTCGAGAGGGAAAAGTGCTATAGTCCCCCCCGTGCGCGGAGGTTAAAAAAAATAGACACTCATAAATTAAAAAAATCAGAATTTGAATAAACTGTTTGTTAAAGAAAAAAAATAGAAAATAGAATACTTGGTCGATCATCCTTATTTCTTGGTATATTATGTTAAACGAAATTTAATAATAATAATTACAAAATTGGTTGTTACAGATCATTGAAAGATGCGTTTGAAGGAATTTTCGGAAATAATCAGAACCATTCCAGTTTTTCTGTCAATTTGTTTTCAACTATTGGTTTGGATGGCTTAATGTAAGTCTATTAATTTTAAAGTTTAAAGTTTATTTAATAATTAAATAATTTGTCATTCAATTTCTAGTCATACATTCCAAGAATCATTGATTTTCTAATCCAATTAATAGTTTTCTGTGACTGAAATCGTTGACCTTGGGTAATTACTTATAATTACATATTGGCTGCCACAATTACCTACATCGATTCAACTTCATCTCATCACTTGTTAAAAACATAATTGGAGTTATTAAATCCAATATTTTATTTTCAAGATATATTAACTTTTATAGTACAAAATATATTTACTTAATTTAAGAGTTATATATTAAGAGTATTTTCAAAGGTATAGTTATTACATATTATAATTAAAAATAATAATGCATTAATTTTCTGATTTTTAAAAAAAAAAAAACAATTCGTGTTTGCAACAACTTAATAATTTTTAGAAAATAGGATAGATGATATCATAAAATATTATTTGTTCGGTTTGAAAATTAATTAATTTTTAAAAACTTTGGCTTTAATAAGCTTTTTTAGTAATAACTTCATCTTTGTTCAACTTCTATGATGATTAGTTATGTTAAACAATCCATCCATCTCATAAATGTTAGTTGATGGGACATACACATGAAATAAAACTTCAATATTTATTAGCATCAATAGCAACATAATTATTCATATTAAGCATGATATTGACGATTTTTATTATTATTATACCTAGTCTTTAGGTTTAATTGTTTACTGTAATAATCGCGTAAATTATTAATTATTTATAAACAATTTATTTAATTATAATATAACTATTTGTCAATAAAAATAGTTTTTTTTACTATTGTGAAATTTAACAACAATTATTATTGTTAAATATAAATTACAAAGATTATACTTTTATTACGAAATAGAATAAAAAAAAAATTTTTAATTTAAAACTATTATTTTAGTACATACCTATTTAATTATTATAATAAATAAACACATTTTCAACTTTTAAAATTTTGTTGACAACTGGAGTTAAAAACAGCCATTAAGGACACTCATTACCTACCATTGTCTACTACACAGGTGTTTGTCATTTGGATAAACCGGTAAGGTAAACACGTTTCACATACACTGATATATATATATATATATACAATCATACACAGTTGATATCGTTTAAACGTATACATTGCCATTTGGTAAGAACCAAAAAATACCTTTTCATAACAACACGCCACCACTGGATTTTATAAGGGGTGGGGTGTGGCTACCAACGGATAAAATAATTTAGAACTAATTTAATATGATGTAGTATTTACTACGATGCGCAGTTAAAAATATGACAGAAAATGCCTTTAAAGGGGTTATTTTGGTGGGTTTAATATTAGACTAGATCTAATATTAAAATTCCAAAATTCACCACGCGACTATTGGCAACATATTATATGATTGTTGTATAATGTGTAAACGTGTCTATATTTGATATGGATAAATCAGGCAAAGCATACCACACGTGTACCTTGTTATTGGGTTTGGTGAACACGTGGCCACAGTATTGCGCACATGTACGTTGTCTTTGAAATTGGCAAAAATTAGCTGGTGACATCGTCCGTTTTCAACCGGCTATATAATTGCTTAGAACAAACCTCCTGGTTGGGTGTATAATCCACGGGCTAGTGTTTGAGTTTAATCATTGTAAGAAATGATAATTTTTTTCAAATCTCGGAGTCCCCTTTTTTATTTTTCCAATTCGAGCACTATCTAAGAAGCCTACCACCGAACAAAAGTTGAGACTTTTGTACAATCATTTCAAATTGCTATTGACAAACGACACGTTCTATTATTATTACGTAGTATTTGTTAGATCGCCTAAGGGGCAACACTAAAAAAAAATCAGGTGTATCCCGTGGTCCCGCTATCGATACACCATAGTTGTTTGTCCATACGACCAAGCTTTAAACAGGGTAAGGCCGAATTACACATGTTTTTTTTTAATTGCACTGGGATTCTAAAAAGATAATGTGCGAATAAACTAACTCGTTCCGATCATTACATTAAACTAATTTATTAATAAATAAATACTAGTCTGACGGTCAGAAGAATAATTGGTTTATATTTTAATATCTAAAGTATGTTTTTTTTTTATTATAATAATTACATAGTTGAAATTTAAAAATATGTTAATTTTCCCAATTAATAAAAAAATGAGTTGATTTTCTCAAAAGCGGCAATTTAGATATTAGGTTCTTAATCACATTATCAAAATAATAATATGAAAATACTAGTTAGTATTTTCGTTTGTTTCTAAACTATAGTAGGTAACGTCGTGGAAGGACGTCGTTGATCGTTTGATTTAAATCGATAGTGACACACATTAAATAATATGCAAATTATCATATAAAATGAATATTTATGAGTTCTATATGTACCTATATAATGATCAGATCGAGTGTAATTCAAACATTACCTTTTTTGAAATAGAATGCAATTCGAACATTTTGGTCTAAGTGAGGTGAACTGTTCAACGATTCCCGTTAACCTAATTTTATAATAATTACCTACTTAAGTAAGTAGGTAATCCGACCAGAATATTGATGGTATCTAAACGTATTCCACGAAATTGAATACAACAAAGAAATCGACGCCATTTTTTGTGAACTATACGAACACCCTGAAGGTAATTGATAGATCGTATTGATAATACGTACTTGCTGTAGACAGGTATAATTGATGAACTATTATTAGGCGTGGTTACGATACCTATTTCACTTTTATCGAGTTCACATCAATGTTGTTTTCGTCCATGTATTTATAAGGGTGATTCTGAATGACACTCAAATACTGTAAAGGGTAATAGTGGATAAAGGTCAACATCGCAGGGGTCAGAAAATAGCGGCCAGTGGAAAATTGACCCCATACGGACCAAAATTGTATTTTTTAAGTCTTTTATGTAGGTGATGTATGAGGTTTTCTTTAGTTGTCATTTTATTTTCCTCTACTTCCTTGGGATAAGCATGATGTACACCACATTTTGATACACCCCGAAAATTTCCTGAATTTCTTAATTGGCTAATTAGCTCTACGTACATATTAATTGGCCACCCCTGCCATATTGAGTCTACTTTCACTTGACACCAGGGCTTGCAAACGTTATAATAACAATATATTTGACAAAAATCGATTGAAATTTGTAAACGTAATAAAACGGAAATCGATAATCAAAAATAATTAAATACCGCAAAACAAAACACAAAGATAAACAAAATATATAAAATACCATTAAACAAAATATAACGCAAAACATAATTTATAGAATATCATTAAACGAAAAATAATGCAAAACGTAATTTATAGAATACCATTGAACGAAAAAAAACGCAAAACTAAATATTTTAAAATCTATTTATTTAAAAGGTCTATCTACCCGCATTAGTTAAACGAATAAAGGCATTAGTTTTTTGTATTTTTTTCAAATACAACCCATACAATTGCATCAAAAATTGTAATCTGCAGGTAGGTGAGTTGCATCCGAATAAAAAACTTAGAAGGTTATCATTATATAAGCAGGTAATTTAAGTTCCAGCATGCATTTTTTTAAAACCTAGTTGCATTCGTAACTATCGATTTGACAGTAAAAAGGTTCATTATAATAGTATAGGTTTATAAATATATTTAAAGAATATTAAAATAGCATTGCTTAAATTTAACAATCATAATAATATAATATAATATAATATCATAATATTTCTTAATATTTTAATTCCAAAAACACACACAAAAATAATAACAAAATGTAATACTACAGTAGTTACTATTGTTTATGAAAAAAAGTACATACCAATTATTGTTTCTTAGTACTTACTATAATTATACCTACATACATAATTAGTGCGCCTGTGGCGAAACTTCGTAAGAAACTAGGGGGGCTATTGATATTAATAGTACATAAAAGTAATCCATTCCTGTAATCATAATTCTTGAAATAAATTTATTGGCTTATTTTTATAACAATACGACAGTACAGTGGCGTAGCCAGGAATTTTTAATGGGGGGGGCTAAGTATACAAATACAATGTGTTTTTTATTTACGCTTTTTATTTTTTTATTAATCTTGATAAAATTCTAAGGTCAATACCGTTCAATGGGGGGGGCTATAGCCCCCTTAGCCACCCCCTGGCTACGCCACTACGACAGTAAATATTATACGACAGGAGAAATGTGAATAAAATATTTGAGTAATTATGTACTAAAAAGTTTTTATATTTCTGCAGAGTGCAGTCCATAACATAACGATTAGGTATACGTCTATAGATGTCAATCATTTGTATTGTATTCAAAGCTATAGGTACGCCTCCTTTACCTATCCGATTGGTGATTTGCCTAACACCAGAGGCCGCGGCCACCAAATTTCCATTGAATTAAAATACCTACCTGCATAATATTTCTTTTTTTAAGACCCAACAGCTTGATATGGTCCAACCAACAGCATGATTTTCACCTGTGAATGAGCGAAGAGCCGAATTGATTCTGGTTTCATTTTGAACTATTATTATTCACAGCGATATGAAATATATTGTATATTATTATATTTCTACTTATCATCGTTATTATTTTATCAAATATCAAAAAAAAATGTATCGGTAATATACCTTCAAAACTGTATGAGACCCCATAATATATTATAGGTACTAAACTTTGGGTTATGGGAAACTTACAAAATTAGTCTGTTGGAAGAAAATCTGCTAAATGTTGTTATTGTAAACATTGTTATTTAATTTCAAGTTTTAAATTATTTTAATTTAGTTGTACTTTTCTCAATATTTATGACTGGTTAGCTATCATTTCACTCAAACTCCATAGCGTGTAAACACGGAAATGAAAATATGTGTACTTGACTATCTGACGCTGAAAATTTATTTTCAACTTTGAGGGTAAATTTAATCTATATGGTGCTTTCGAGAGGTCAACATTGAAAATCCCTAGTTAGTTTTCAAAACAATCGAGAAAAAACAACAAAACTACTTTTGACTATTATTAAAAATGTATTCATATTTAAATTAATTATTACAATAATTAATAGCAATAAATAATATTTATATCATAATAGGCTCACAGTCTCAACTCAGAATTTTTGTTTCTATGCAGTGATTTATCATTGAATTCAACACATCAATTTTAGTGATCTACTCAATGACGAGTTCCATTTGACTCCTACTGTATATCAGAGAAGTTACCTATTTTCCTAATATTTTTTTAAATTATTATATTATTTCATAATCATATGTTGCACTTCTTTCAAGTTTCTTGTAAAAATGAAAAAATTTACAATCATGATTTAATAATTGTGAGGTATCGTATTGAGTTTTTATTTGGTACAAATTTGAAGTCGTCCTGTAGGTAACGGATTTTTTTCCTGTAAATCAGACTAGGTAAAATAAAACAAAGTACATTTTTCAAAACATACGATTGTTTATTATTAATTTAAAAAAAAAAAATGGTTTAATTTTGTAATATTTAAAGAAGAAAAACCATTGACAGTAATATTTTCTGTCTTATTGGACATTATTACATAGTGTTTATAGTGTTATATTATATAATAAGTAATATATTTTATATTTATAAATTATTTATGTTATATAAGTTGTAGATAAATATCGTATTTTGAAATAATTAGATATAGATTAACAATATATATTTTGTGATATTATAAATTTATGCATCTAAAAGTGTTGTAACATCATGAACTTTTGCTGGAGAACTGTACCACAACGATTTTGATACTGATAACACCCCAACTGAATATGTTGAGCCTGGTTGTAGCCCCGTTAGCTGTAAAATAAACGTAGGTATAAATTTGTATAATACATTCGTTTTTCAAAAATATTAATAATAAAAACTCACACTTTATGATGAAACTAAAAACACAACTTTGTACCATAATATTATGCCTATCGTGTATTCGTGTTAACCTACTTAAGCGTGGCTGAATGGGAACGGAATTAAAAGACATATACATTATACACAATATGTATTTGTAAAACGAAACACGAGCTGAGTTTAACTATCTTATTTTTTAGATAAAAACTGTGGTTTGTTTGGCCAACTGTATAATATAAGTTATTGTTAGATACTCATAATCAGAATACTAAAGCATCCAAATACTGAATACAGCAGTAATATTACCTATATTATGCGTATAACAACTAAACGTTTAGGTACTGGATTCGTACATACGTATCAAAATAGGTCGCATTATCTACTTAAATATTTATTTTAATTATTTAATTGTGTATGATTATTCTCTAACTACTCGTACGATAACCTATAATGTCCTTATAGACAGCGATTAGAACAAACTATGATATGTAGCCAAACAACATTTTTATATTTGTCAAAAAAAACCTACCTACTTTTATGTAGACAATTTAACATTGTCTCATAATATGGTAATATTATATTATAACGCTTCCCCTTGCCAGTCTGGATAGTCTGCCAATTTAACTATTATTTTAACGGCCTAAAAATGTTATTCTCGTTCGAATTTTTTATCAATAAAACCCGGAAACGGTACCATTCAACAGTTCAATAACATTGACATATTACTATTGGTACTCTGCAACAAGAAACAGTTACTTATACGTACTATTATCGATAAGTCGAAGATTACTCATTATGGCTATATATTGTAAAGGTAACCATTGTTTTCGGTTATAATTCTATATCGTTCTCTCTCAAGCATTTTGTATCGCTCATATAATCGAACCATGTCAAATTATAGTAACAGTAACCTACTCCTAATTTTAATGAGCTAGGTTTTCGACGAAACCATGTTTTACTTTGTTTTTTTTTATTTATATTCCACAGAACTCTATAAGTATGTTTCTCTTTAAATTTTAATTTGTTTTATATTATTCGATTAGACAGCACCAACCACGAGTTCAAACTAGTAACTTATAACTATAGTAGATAGCCATTTACTGTTTATATAATATTATAAACTATTGTATATACAGGGTGTGCCACGAGGATTCACTCATTGCGATATCTCCTGAGATAATAAATATATCATACATTTTTATTAGACTCGCAGAAACAAGGACTACTCATATTTTATTTTTTTGTAAAAAAGTAAAAAACATTTTTTATTTTATTAATTTGGAGCAATCGAAGAAAGCCATTTTATAGACCTCAATTCCGTAAAAATTTAGATTTTTCAAAATTTTATTTTCATAAATCTCATTATTTTTTATTAATTTTTTTAGTTTACATGTAAAGCGGCAAAAACCCGGTTTTTGTCCGGGCGGCGATTACCCCTTAACAGCTAATGGGTAAATCTCATGGGAAACCCTGTATATGGTTAAAATAGTACAATATATATTTAGTTATAAACACTATATATATAATTGAAACTTGATAGACTTCAATAGAATGAACCAAAAGGAAAGATTATTGACGACAATGAGTACTTACTGAAAATATTATAATGATTGCAGCAACTGTATACGAACAATTCCATAGGTTGTTGACATTGAGGAAATAACGAATAAATAGATACAACATATAAGTATACAGAGTAATTCTTTTATAAAAAAAAAACCGTATTTAAGTTATTGAAAATATTTTTTTTTACCTAACTACTATTTAGTTACTTATATTTGTTTTACCATTTTTTATCGTAACTATGTTTTTAAATTTTACTTTTTTATACCAACAACAAATATTTTTAATTATTTATTTCAAAGCCAGAATATTAATTATATAATATAAAAATTGAGTTATGGACTTGTAATTTGTAAGTTGAAGCTTATAAGTTCTAAGAGTTAAAAGTTTTGAAGAGTATAGTGGAAGTGGACTAGCTCCATAAAATCTACTTTGTATATCGAAACTTAAAATAGTCATAAGTCATTACTATATACTCGTCTGACATATTATGGTGTTTATAAATCGAAATACCCCGAATAATATTCTACTTCGGGAGAAATGTACCTATGTTATCATTTCAAAAAATAAAAATATTAAAAATACCTAGGTAGGTACAAAAATGTTTTTTTTAACAACTTGAAATTATGTTAAAAACAATTTGTGAGCTATTCAGTACTAACGTTAAAATTGTTTTGTATGTAAACATCTAAACGCTTTTAATGTGGAAAAAATTAAAAATATGTCATATTTCTAATACCTAATATTATAATAGTAATATTATAATCTATAACCAATGGTAACACCAATTATATAAACAAAAAATATAGAATTTTCTTGAGGCAAAATGAAAAATTCTTGTATGAGCCAGCCTATACCAGATTATTATAGAGGTTGAATACAAGATGCTAAAAACATCTGCCGAGTCTAAGGAAACTATTGATATAACTTTTATTGAAATGGGTCAAGTCGTTGCTTGAGATTAGCCGTTAGCAACTTGCGTTCGTTATACGCTGTAACATGTTGTAGTTCGTTTGCACAAAATACATCTACAGTCTTACATTTTCTGGAAAAGGGGCGTGTTAAGACGTTATACATCAAAAAAAAATTTCAAAAATGTTTATATAGTCAAATGAACCACATGGTAGTAATTTAAGGATAATTCATTGAGGAAATTACGGAGTATAGAACGCGACCATTATACACTTGTAAGCAACATTATAATTTAAAAAGTGAGTTTATATTACCGTATAGTTGTAAGATGGCAATTCTTCATCGAATGCAATTTCTGTCGGCATAATGTTAACACAACACTGGCTCATATCCACTTTTGATATTTCTTCAATATTAATTACAAACATTTTCAATACGCTGTTGAATACCCATGGAATATCCCACTGAAGAGTAAAGTATGTTTTTCCAATATCGATAATTTTCACATTACTTGGAGGATCGGGTACTACGGTAAAAATACAGAGTATGACATATTACTGCGTTGTATGTAAATTCGGTATAGTTTACGTGTGAATATAAATCTAACTTACTCCCATCAATGTTGGTGAAATTTATAGACGCAGATAAACCACCTCCTGGATAATCTATTGACTTGGCCTGAACCTATAGCACACAAGTAGTAAAAATAAATAAAATACAATTAGATACAGCATTACATTTATTTATTTATTAGAATTTTCATATTTTGTTATCCAATATTCTTACTTTAAACGTAACATTTTTACTAGAACTCAAATCATAAAATGTATGACAGAAATATTCTGGCCAAGCTGAACACTTCCTTGGTGGAACAATAGTAACATTTTTTTCGTGTCCAATAAATGAGATATCATCATATGAAATTATAAATCCATCTAAACTTGAATCATCTGGATAGTTCCAACGAAGTCCAACCACTTTATTCTTCATAGCTTTTTTGTACACCATTAAATCGTCCACTTGTCCTAAAACTATTAATGTAAGAGTTCAGTGAACGTATATTAGTGAAATTATAATTTAAAACAATTTACTTATACAGTTATAGTAGTTTAATATGACATACCAATTTTCAAATTAGAAATTTCGAATTGCCTGCAGTTGTCTATTTAGAAAAATATATACATAATCCTAAATTAAGCACTCGTATGTAAACATAAAAAATTTAAATCATTTTTATATTTTATTTTAGATTCCGAGTCGAGCGATGACTTTAATAGTTTTACAATAACATGAGTTGGTACTTCGGGGAGTCAAAAGTAGACAATTCTCATAACTTAATAAAATAATTTTAAAAAACAAAAAAAAAATGAAGGGAAAATAGAATTGTTAACACAAAATTCGTTTATACCCAAATGTATTTTGTTATAATATAACTCAAAAATGAATAACTTCAGATACTTGAAATTTTAAATTCATACATACATATTATGTATCAAATTTATTTAGCACTTACTCCCAAATCTAGTCGTAAAGTTTATAGATAGAAAATGTTCAAGACTATATCCAATATGGTTTTTGATAAATGCTTTCAATTCATAGGCAGTGTTTGATTTGAGGTCTTCAAACGAAATATTATTTTGTTTCGTTTCTTTTACTTGTAAATTATTATTACTCTTCTCCTAAAAAAAGAATCATTTAATTTACAAAATAATAAACTCTACTTTGTAAGCAGGTATTATATATTCATACCTTTAATTCCACGAAGTATTTTGAAAAGAATCCATTCAGTTTAGAGCAGTTAATAAAATCAAATTTCCATTGAACGAACACGGAACTATTTGTTATGTACAGTGGGTTCTCTGGATCAATAGTTGGGGCTACGGTTGGTTCTAAGTTTAAAAATTTAATAAACATAGAAATAATTAAAAAAGGCACGAGTACTTAATTTTAACTTTGAAATAATTCTTACTTGACGTTGGCGTTAATGTGTATATCATTTGACTGTCGTCACCAGTAATAATTTGTATTAAGTATTGCGAATTAGGTACTACGTCTAATATTTCATAGCTGGTTTGATTAGAAATTATAACGGACATCCAACTGTTTTCTAATTCTTGCAAAGTACAACTGAGAATTCGGTTGATCTAAACAATATCGTACATTTGTCTTTGTTATATTATCTTAATAATTCATAATACGCCTATACCCACCTCCTAAATAACTGGTTTAAATTTTTTATCATATACTATAGGTAATACAAAAAATATAAGTATGAAAAAAATATTAAATATTATGTAAGGTTAGGTTGTCGTTTGAGTTATGAATTTATGATTCGATTATTTAAGAAAGCGTATTATATAACTTATAAGAAATAAGAAATAAATTACTTTGTATCGTATAGTACACGTGACTGGTTCGTTTATTACTGATTTTACCGCAGCATTATAACGTTCATACATATATCCTAATTTCCAGGATACTTTGATCTTTCTGTTTTCATTGATCGTGGAAATATCCTTAATTTTGAATTCAATTCCTTCATCAAGCATAACATAATAATTATTAGTTGACACATAATTGCAGTCTATATAATTATGTAGTTAGCTATATAAAAATGTATTATAAATTATAATGTATATAAATATACCTGGAAGTGGAGCTGCTGAATAAATAGGCGATGGAAATAATTGTCCTTGAGTTGTATTTAGAATTAATTGTATGTTATACTGATAGCCAGGTATAAGGTCGTAGATATAGTGACCATTAACTGAATTTGATCTTATTTTCTGTACACCAGATACTTGGTTCTGTGACTGATTGTACGACAACACCAATAAATATTCAATAATATTGCATTCAAACCGGTTAATAGAAGTAGTTGTCTATAGTGATTAGTAATTATAAAACCATTAGAACATGTATCTCCTTATTGTTTTTTATACGAAAAATATCAAGTATAATATTATTAAATATTTTATTTAATGGAAAATTTTTAATTAATAATAGCTGCATTTTTCCTCTTACTTTGTTCCATGATACGTTGATACTTTTAATTCCTCTTACAAGTGTTACATTAAAATCTTCAATGTTTGGTGCTAAAATATAAAATTGTAATAACTTACATAGTATTATGGATATTACAATAACTTGCATTGATGAATATTTTCTTGTTTTTAATTAAATGTTTTATTAACAATACTTACGTATGCACGACGTCTTAAAATTACCATATACTATATCTTGGTCATTAAAATTGCCATCATCTGTTATTAACAGAACGCCAACTAAATATATGGTGTCCGGTTCTAAACCACTTAAAGTTTCTTTGGTTTCATTACTATTTTCAATAATGGGTTTGATATCAGAGTTAATAAATTGATCTTCTTTTAGCGCCTAGAAACATTGCACATAGAACACATAAATATATTAATTATCATACTATAATCTAATAAATCACCAATTTGATATATAATTACGCCCTATTTTGATGAACAATGTAGGCAATACCATTAACCGGGCTGTTGTAAACAAGCCGGTCCAAACTAGTCCTTTCGTTATGAACCATCGATGTTAAAACTATCTACCTAATATTTGTAGTCTATTCATATTTATTTGTATGCTGTTTAATAGATTTAGAACCCAGAATAGTAGAAAAGTAGAGAAATAATTTTACGATAATAATATCAGATTATTAAATACTTATCATTTATAATTTATAAATATAATAAATAATACCATTTACACATATACCTACTTCACCATTTTAATAAGAGTGTAGATACAAGGAATGTGTATAGAGCGTATATTATTATTTTGAAAAATAAAAAAACACTACGGTATTTAAAGAAACTACAAACTGATTATTAAAAATATAAATATTATGATTTTAAGAACCAAATAGCCAATATAAAGCAATTTTAAGTGCTCAACAAATTAATTTAACATAATAAAAGTAATATATTATTATTATTTTTCTTACCTAGGTATATAGTTATTTATTTATATAAACGTACAACCTTTTAATCAGTAGATTCAACATTATAATTTATAATAATACATATTATATATTATTATCATGTATAGGTACGTATGATTTGTATGTGCATTAAATTTAATACTAAATATTATTGTATAGTAGGTAGTCAATAAAATTTACTAAAATTAAATAAAAACTTATAATAAAGGTTTTGTCAAAATATCTTACCTTATAAACTATCTGATAATATTTCAACTTAATATTTTTATCTTCACCCATAACGTTAGACGATTGAAAATCACATTCTATTTCTATTGACTCGTATTCGGTTGATAGTAGTTTAGGTGGATTAATGAGGTATGGATATTCTAAACATTAAAATATATTAGTCCATTATGTTTATTATTATTAAAATGTAAAGCATCATTTATTCGGTCATAATTTTTTAATCACTATTTTTAAACTCTTTATTATCTTGAATTGATAATTGATCACTATTTTAAAGTATAAATTACAATAATATGGTCTATGATAATTTCCTTTTTTACATTTTTAGTTTAGTATAATAATATGTTATATATTTTATGACTATTGACGATATAAGTACTTTTATAAGCATTAATTTACAGATAACATTATATATTATTTTATGTAGCATTAAAGTATGCAGAGTACGGAAATTTAACTTCTTTTAATGACCTAGTAATGCTAGGTACTAATTACCAACCAATAATTAATATTTCAATTTTGTAGGCTATAAATACCTACTACGTAGTGCAGAATAAACTTTTTAGTTGAAATTCAATTATAAGAATAATGAAATATTGTATTACAATGTAATCATGTTATGATGTTCACTATTTTGAGCTTTTTTTTTATCTTACTTTGTAAACAATGTGGTAGTACATATTGTGGTGAGCATCCATGTGAACAAAGACCCGTGTATCGATCACACTTTCTATCGTAACAATTCGACGAACAATATTGATTGCAATCGGCGCCAAATTTACCTGTTTCGCATTCTAAAAAAAAATTTAAAAAAATTAAAACTGCAGGTATGTACCAATAGGGCATAGTGTTATAATATTATATTTATGCAGTAAAAAAAAAAACATTTTAATTCTATACCATGATAAAGACATAATATATTTATTTATTAAATTTGCTTAGGTACCTCTATTACACAACGGACCAGTGAAACCCGTCGGACAAGTACATCCGAATTTCGTACACATGTACATACCACGACACATTTCTGCTGAATGCATAGAACAAACGCCTTTACAATCGAATCCGTAAGAATTTGGACCACATGCTGAAATACAAGTGTGTTATTTACGTCAATTCCGACATTAAAACAATTAAATTCTGTACCTATTAATCAAAGTACCTACGTGTAATGTCAGTAATAATTTGATATTTTATTTTTTTATACAAAGTTGAAAGTATAGTAACTCAGGAACTAATTTATTTAATTCTAAAGTTAAGTTGATATTGATAATATCGCAATGTGGATATCAATATATAATATATTACAAATACTATAGTAGTTAAATTACCTGTTTCACATAGTTCTCCAATAAATCCAGGAGGGCAAGTACAATTATTCATTGGAGGTACACTGTATCCGCCATTTAAACATTCCGATTTCTGTTTCATACTCTCGCTTGCATTATATGCTATATTATATTATAACAATTAATAATATATTATACTTTATAACTTATAGGTAAAACTTATAACTTACACCCACTGATCTATAAATTAAAGGGGGGGGGGGGTGGGTTGATAAAAAAATTGTATCGAGTCTGATAATTTATTAGTTATGTGTATAACACACTATACACCTGATGTGTTAGGTATAACTTATAAGTATTATAAGTTATATAACTGCTTACTTAAGAGATTCAAGTCATATTGATTCACAGAGATTATACATTAACCGGTGATTAATTATTTAATTACCGTCTACGTATGACTACATAGAACATATACTGTTTAGTGTTTACATTTTTTATCTTCGAATATTATTTACACTGTTGTGATTACACAATATTATATAATTAGGTAATAATACTACCTACTATGAACTGAAGATAGGTACAAATTAGTAAATTATAGAATTAATAATTAATTTTAAACAGTTCATAATGTTTGCACTAATATTTTATTTTATTACCTGTGTGATTAATTTCTCACAATTAACTAAATGCATGTTTTGTAAAATATCGTAACAAATACAATGTAATCGGAATTTTTTTAATTAAAATATTAAGTAGATCGCTCTTTATAACATGTGTTATTAATTATTACCTAAACGTAGATAGATTGGTAATTATAATATAATCTTTAAGAAAATAATTATAATTTATACTTTTGAGATTGATGATTAAGGTCAGTTCATTCAAATTTTTAACTAACAGAGCTAAACGTGATCTGCTGAGCGTAAAATTTGCTATGTTACACACATGTTTCTTAAGCCTTTTGACACCAATTTCCAATTGACAATAGGAAGTTATAATTAATAATAATTTAATATTTCTCTAGGAAAATGTATACCTACAAATGAGTAAAATACTATCTAACTATCTAATAGTACATTGACTTTAAATGATTGAACTACAATTTTCATGGTACATTTATTTCCTATATGAATAGTCTCACGCCGTAATACTAGAAACTAGTTTTTTAATATGATTTGTGTATTTAGGGGGTACCTACTTTTATAGTTTCCAAGTACGTTGAATGGCTTTGTTTCGTCTTCAAAATCATACACAACTCGAACATCTTCTTCATCTATAGAACAGCAATGCAAATTATAAAATTAGATTCAGGTGTGAGATTTTATAAGCACTTAATATAATAATGCTATTGTGTAGATAATACATTTTGTATTATATGTATTATAATTTTAATTTTTAAGGTGTTTAAACTTTAAGGTCTTTATTCATTAACTTCTAACCCTTAGTAAATATAATAATAATTTGTACATTCTTAGACATAATATCATATCAATTCATATGGTTCGTTTTTAATTCTCACATTTTTGTAATAAATTAAATAACAATATATTATAATTCATTAAAAATGGTTCTGTTTCATCATTTTAAAATTTTAAAAACACTTGAAAACAGTATCTAAATTTTAAATAATATTTGTAAGAGTGCCATCACTCATTATACCAAGGTATTCATTTTCGTGATAATTGATAGTACAATATAGTTAGGTACTTGCGGCTACCCTTCAAGTCCGTACAAAACAATGACCATATAATAGCCAACATGTGCGATATAATTTTACTTTTATCTCCAAATAATTCTTAATATTTCCAATTTTATTTATAGTATATTGTATATAGACTAATAAATTAGTAAATTAATAAATGAGTACCTACCATAATTTGAAGATTCGGCAATCCGTATAAGTCCAAACCAAAATCCACTATAAACATAATTATAGCGTCCTCGACTATAGTAATCACTATTCATTTTCATTTTTAACGTGAATATATATTCTTGATTTTTCATGAAACCAATATCATTAAATGTTATTGTTTTAACATCTTCCTGTATTTGGATTGGTTTTTTATAATTAATTACTTTTTTTTTATTTATTTATTTGAAGTAATCTACAATCTATACATGTCCTAGGTATAATAAGTAGGTTTGATGGGTGACAAGTAAGAATGATATGAATAATACGATTAGGGAAGATACCCAGTGGTAATACGCTATAATTTATTACTTAAGTCATATAAAATAGTTAAATGTATGATAATAAACTTACAAATTTTAATAGTTTGGTAAAACTTATTAATGTACCATTATTTGCATAGGCTATATTCAAGAAGATATCCATTTTGGACGGCGGTGTGTGTATGTATGTGATTGATAAACCCGCTCGGCCATGGTCGGATGTCCAAATTACCGAAAATATTGTATTATAATCATTACTTTTGTGTACAGGTATAGTGTCAATTTCATATCTGTATTCGGAAGCGTTGACACATTGATATTTATCTAAAAATAAAAAATAAATATTAATAATACGTAGTTTTTGAAATATAAATGCAATATTATTTTTCAGAGTTGATCTTATGAAATGTAAATACCAATTATTATTGCTGAAAACTAAGATTTAAAAATTATATAATAGATACACGTATATCGTTACTTGTGTCTTAAAAAACATAATATGCCTATAGATTAGAATTTATAAAACAGCCATTATTATTAATTATTGATATTAATTAATTTACCAATGTTGTTGTAATTCACTGTGATTATATTTATTCTATGAAATTCAAAAACCCTAAGACTATAATCTAACTTTATAGGCAGTCTTGTAAAGTACTTGAGTAAAAGTATTTGAGTAAAGTATTCAAATACTTTTTAAGAACTCAAATACGTATTCTAAATACATTTGAAAAAAGTACTTGGGTATAGTATTTGAATACTTTTTTGAAAGTATCTGTATTTAAAATCAAATACTGTTTTTAAATACTTTTACTTTATTACCAAATTTAAATAAAATAATAAAAATTTGAAATTGTACAAGATTTTTAATTATAGATCGTTCATGGTGTGTTTTGGTGGGTATATTGTAATATTTTTAGTGGCCTATACTGGGTAATGTGTATCCATTTAACTGAATGTATACAGTCTGTCGATTTCCTAATAAAATTGGAAATACCTTTACTCGAATTATATATAAATAAAACATAACCATAGTTGATTGATAATAATATATTATATCTATACATTATACATACTAAATTTATTTAGTTGACTAATAATTCAATTTATCTATAAGGTCATTAGGCTAAGGTAAAAAAGTGAAAAATATTTAAAAAAAAAAAAAAGTATTTGAAAGTATTTAAAAGTATCTGTAAATACTTTTTAAAAGTATTTGTATTTGTACTTAAATACTTTTTTTTTCGAGTATTCAAATACGTATTTTAAATACTTTTGAAAAAAAGTATCTGTATCTGTACTTGAATACTTTTTAAAAGTATCTTTTACAAGACTGTTTATAGGTAGGTAGGTGCCGAGTTTTATAGAGATAATGCACCAGTCACTACCTACTTAATGCAGTAGTACCTATATAATTTATGTTTACACATTTTTTTACTTAACGTAAGTATAATTAAAAACTAAAAAGATTCTACTAGTTAAAGTATCATTAGATTATAATATTATATTGTGAACGTTAATAGAAGAAATAAATTTGCGATAATATAGATTGTATCACATGTACCTACTTAATATCAAAAATGAAAATAAAAAGTTAAATTACATACTTTCTAAAGTAAATCATAATTATAGCACAGTTTTCATTTTTTGTTCACAAACATTATTATTCAAGTTCAATACTGTTCAGTGGATACCATAATATTGTTACATTTTGGGACAATTTTTTTATATACCTACCTATAAAACATTCACTGCCTATGTTGTATTATTCTGACCAAATATAACTATGGAATTAAATATATACATATCAAAATTACCTTCGTGAGAATTGTGTCCATAATTACAGTCATACGTTGCCGGTCCTATAATAATAAATAATATGCTTTATTAAAAATCGTAGTAAAAATATTTTGCAACTAATAAAAGTTAGGTGGGTATTTATATATAGTTATAAAAATTAAAAATGTGAAATATATTTTTAATATCTTACCATTTACACCAATCAATGGAATAGATTTTATTTGCCAAGATTTAAGAACATAATCAACCTTTATACGACTATTATTCTGAGATAATCCAGATTTGAAGAACACTGACTTATTAATTAGTGAAATTGACTGACTTGACCATTTCTTTTGTGAAGAATTTACTTCTGCGGTAATTGGTAATCCGATGGCATTTGTTCTTGAATGTATTTCAATTGAATAGCTATTTTTTGAATATATCTTATAAAAATCAGGGTCTTTGAATCCAACTAATGTAGAAACATAGAATCATAGTAATATTTAACATAATATATAAGTAACAAAACAATCATAGATTTAAACAATTTTAAATTAACTAAAACATTCATGATGGAAAGCTTATACATATTAGTATATTACCCATTGTGAATTAATATTTAAGTATCGAGTATGCATTTGTTTTTCGGCGTGGAGGGTGTTAAGGGTGTGTGTAAATATAAAATCATAAAGAATAATTTTATAAGTCTCTATAAAATAACACTCTGAAACAGTCTTATGAATGTCACAATATTAGGTACTATATATAAATCGTGATTAAATACGTCAAAAATAGCGAAATTCATAATAACGAAATAATAACAAATATAAAAATTGAAAACTAAAATCGAGAATATAACAATAGCGAAGTAATAAAAGTGAAATCCAAAGCAAATATAATTTACAGCAGATTAATAAAAAAAAAACCTAAATACATCGGTGGTATAATAAGAGTACCTAGTACCTACACAATGTATTATCTATGTAATAGTTCGTTGGAAAGTACCTATAGTAAGGTAGTATATAATAAACAAAAGGTAATAAAAATAATACGTGATAAACTTTTTTATCATCAAATTTTTATATTTTTTTTTCGTATAGGAATAAGTTCAAGAAAAAAGATAAGTATATAATGAATTCCCTGTGGAAAGGGACAACACCCTAACACCTCGTCCATCACATACACCCATAAACACGGAACTTATTATTTTAAGAACATATATTGGTAAGGGGTTTATATTATTAAAACATAAATATTTTATTACAAACTTTAGGTTTATTGATGTTTGACTAATTAATCAATCTACAGTTAAACTAATACACTTTATTATGTATTCGTAATAATAACAATAATATTGTAATAAAAACATTTAACACCACAAAAAACTAAGTACAATTTTATGTTGGAAATATTGAAAAATTATTTGTGTGCGATATAATCGAGTCTGCAATAATGTATAATATTTATTAGGTACTATTGTCATATTATGTTCTTGTGTACAATAATTATTAATTAACGATACAATAATTTACCAGATAAATAGTAGACAACGAGGGTTCTGGTAGCGGGGGGTGTAAAAACCCACTCTTTACTCACACAACAAAATTAGTATAATAATATGACATGCCAAAACTTTAAAAAAAATGTCATTCTAATTCTCCTTAAAATAAGTCAAATCACAAATTTAATAAGTAGGTACTATAGTAATAATATCGAATGCGATGAGGTTATAAAGATCACAGATTGTCTCACATCCAATAGCTAAAATCTTACATTTCGCGTTATTTCTACCATCAAGATTATCGAAAAAACACTATATGGGTACAACAAAATATGTAAACATCTTGACTGTGATTGACTTTTTAATCTTCACATCCCGTATCTACACATTGCTCAATTAACCTTTTTAAAAACAATAATAATTCATAATCTATAATTTAAACATCAAAATTAAAATATTCTATATCTAATAATAAGAACAATGAGCATTGAAGCAAAAGAAAAATATTCACAATTGTCACTCATGACTGAGTTAAACTAAAATATAAATATTTACTAATAAATTACCATTACTTCTGTTTTGAATTTAATTTTACACATTTTTAATAATATTATTATTGTTAACATACCACTTTTAATGGGTCTGGTAAACGCATTCATCATTCTGTAAATTGTAGTAACGTCATAATCTTTATGAATGGCTGAAATAAGAATTAAATAATGTTAAATAGTAAAATTTGAATATTATTTTTTTTATACATATATCAACGTAATTATTTCTAACTAGACATTAAATGTTTATAATTTTTAGAGCTCTCAAGCTTCCTGAGAAGTAAAACCTTTATATAAGTAGGTAACTAAAGAAATTTTATATTAATGTTTTATAATTTTTTTTCTAGGTTTTTAAATAGGCTTATTCGAATGTTTAGTTTTTCGATAAAGTGAAAATTAAAATTTACAAATACAGTAATAGTTTGAAAGACACAAATTTAAAACCGTACATGCTAAAATAGTAATAATATTTGTGGAAAGCTGACTTAACTAAACAGAGTGATTCGTTTAAGGAAATATACAGTATATAAGCACTCATTACCTCAAAAAGTTTTATTTTTTTAGAAGATATTATTTATTCACATAATTTGATGTCATTGAAACACACAATTTTTCAAAAAGTATTGTATTTTTTACTTTTTTGAATGACAAAATACATTTTTAAACTGAAGTATAATATTTTAAACATAAATATTGAGTTTCAAATGAGTAGATAATTTAAATAATTCATAACTAACAACCATGATTAAGTTCTTAACAATTTTCTTAACTTGACTTGTTCGAAAATCGAAATTCGGACGAAATTCTGCTTATCAAAAATATCGTTGCATACAAATATCTTATTATATAAAAAAAAGTAATTTCCAAGAACATATAACTTTATAATAGGTAATGAGCGCTGACAACTAAAAGAAACATGTTGTATAAATGAAGTAAAACGTTATTACAGTGATAAGAAATTCGCTTAATATTAAATCAAAAAATAAACACTACGATTATAAACTATAATATAGACTCAATTTCTAATGAATACATGGAACTTTATAAAAATGATTGTGCTTTTAAAATACACAAAAGTCCCGACTATTGAGTATATTTCATTAAAATATGAATAAAGTATGATCTTTATAGGTATAAATATGTGCATAATAAATTGGTACCTATGGAATTTAAAATGTATACAAATGAATATCTTTTAAACATTTTGTACCATAATTTAGTAGCATTGAAAACATTTTTGTATTATTAAGTTGTACATTTCAAAATTCATATTATATAGTATTATAGTGTTATAATTTAATCACAAATACTTACTGTTGTTGTTGGAATGAGATGTGATTTCACTCCAAACGTTCGAAATACATAGTACGGAAAACCAAATATAATAATATATTAAAAGCATCATTTTAGAATTTTTTTTATAAATCATAATAATTATTTGAGACTTCTGTATTGTTCATGTGTAAAATTATTCTGAAATTCGGAGACAACAATATAAACTGAATGGTTCGAAACAAATTAAACGACTAACTGTAAATTATTAATTATAAGAAATACCCACAAACAATAGTATAAGTGTGTATAAATATTATTATCGGACAATTTTTTATTTGTGTATGAGTGTATAAAGGTGGAATTATACATCTTATGAAACGAATTCCATTATAATATAATTATTTACTATACATAGTCGACTAATATTATTATGTACAGTGTGAAGCACCGTGTGTTTGTCCATTTTACAGTATTATCTCGATGGGAATATGCTAACTATATACATTGATCTGCCCTGTATCAACAGCTTCAATATTGACACTGATAATTTTATTTTTATTGCAAACATTTTTAATATGTATAATATTCTGCCGTGTTTACGTTACAAATAGAAGTCGATTATTAGTATAATATTTAAATCATATTTTGCGGAGAATGCAAACTGTATAGTTATGCTCTATGGTTTATTGGTTTCAAGCTTCCAAGTATAATATAATATATAGTCATTATAATATATGAAAAGTAGTTGAAACACTTCCGATTCCAAAATTGTTCCTAAATTTATTTTTTCGTGTGCCTGCAGCAACGTACATTTCCCTGGCACGCATAGAGCAACATAAGAATTTATACCGATAACATTTCTGTGTTCAATAGTTTTAATCGTATTCTGGCAAAGTTCATTAGTTATATTTGTGTGTAGGTATACCTATTATAAAAAGATGTTTTTTATTTGCCTCAGATTAAAATATATATCAATATCAAAAGTCAAAAGTCAATGGTACGATATAATTAATTAATTATTCAACGGCGGTGAAGGTGATGCATAACGTAAAAAATAAATCACGAAAAAATTTACGTCCATATTATAGTAATACACGATCACGGACATGGTCTTGAATTTTCGATAGTTCGATAGCGAACTATGTGATTGAAAAAATTAGCATATACAACATTTTGTGAGAATGTACTGAATTATTATTTCATTGCATTTATCATATATTATTATAAATAGGTACCTATACTTCCTACTGCCGTTCAGAGGCTGAACTAAAGCTACCTACTTGAAGAGAGAACGGCGGGTGGGCGAATATTAGCATAATATTTATAACTTATAAATTATAAGTGGACAATAAATTATAATGTGATGGAATGAATGATAGGAACCCATATTTATGTAATTTAGTGAACATTTTTACTTTTTATGGAAAAACTATTTTGTACAGTATAGTTTCTCGATCACACATATAACGAAAAATAACTATATACATAATTATAGTGTTGATCAAAACGTTTAGGTTCAGTCAAAGAGCTTGAAATTTTAAAACAAGATCCACAGATGTTTTCTTATAGTAAATTGAAAATATTTGAAAAACATTGGTATCTACGATTATTTATTTATAATCGTTTGAAGTAGGAATTACGACAAAATTCGTCATAATCACGAAACTCTGCTAATTATTATTTAGTTAATTAATTCAAGGTTTTTCAGAAGTATTTCTAAAAGATACCTTAAAATCTAAAAAATACATATATGCTCACATGTTTTTAATACAGATTTGAATTTCAAATTTTGAAGAAATTAGATATTAAAACAAAATATAACGATTTTAGTTATTTCGTTGTAATCCAAATGTATTATTTGTGGGGGACTTCTTTTAAGTATATTATTATATTTTACAATAAGCTATGACATTTTCAAAATATTTAGATTAGTTTTAAGCTATTGCCTATTTATACGACATAAAATATACATATAATAATAATAATAATATTTATTTGGCCATAAAAAAACAATTAAACATGCAATGTTTAATATAATAATAATAATATAATAATTAATAATTACCTAATTAATAATGAATGCGATATTATAAGCAAAAATTAAAGTTACCGTTAATAGTAAATAAATTTATATATTAATATATTTATATAATGAACCAATTATACGGTAACTCAGTATATTGACTAGAAAGTTAATAGGTAATAAAAATATATAACATAAAATATATTAAATATGATAAATTATAATAATTTATAATAAAATAATTGTGATATTTTTGGAAAAATATAATTCAACCCATCGTATTACTGATAGGTAGGTATAGTTAAAGAAAATAGTAATATAGCAATATAAAAATATAATAAAATTCAAGTATAATGATAGTAATATTAGTAATAGTCTAAAAGACTGTCTCCGCTCAAAATAATTGTTTTTCCTATGTAATGATTTTTGCAATTGTAAGCAAATTATACACATCGATTACAATGGCCTACTCAATGACGAGGCGGACTCGACAGCTACTATAAAGCAAAGTGAGTCCTGGAATTTTTTAACATAACTTTTTTATAATAGAAATAAAGAATATGGGAAAATTGATCTCTTTTAGAATACGACTAATACAAATGTTTTTAGAATTCTTAACACATCACTAGATCAATTATCGTATATAGCAATTATAATGCATCTAAATTCCTATATTGCACCTGTGTGTTAGCCAAAGACAGAATATCAGTGATTTTGATCTGCTTGAAACTAAAAGACACCATAAATGTCCACTTAACACTTATCACAGAAATACACTATATTAACGGATTTCACATAGACAATAGTTTTAATCAATTATAGGTAATTAAATGTTGGTAATATTTTATAACAGATCAATTTATACTGTAGGTACCTATATACTAAAGTTGATAAATATTAGTGATAATCCGGTCAAACGTAACATTTGCAGACTATAAAACAATAACTTTAGTTTCAAACACGATCGCGATGGTGCTTATATGATGATTTTAAATAAATCCTAAAAATATTTAAAAAAAACTTTTTAAAACACACCTATAATATCACATATTCTACAATCTATATATTTGGAATACACTGAACTGCAATATAAAATTAAAAAAACAAAATTAACGTATAAATCGAGTTCTTATAATGGGTATTATAATAGGTTTAGGCGTTTAGGTAGCTACGCTTAACACGTTAAACTCGTATGGCTGTATAAAATATGTGAAATAATATATTATATAAGAGTTTATTCGAATCTCTATACCAGAAATTAAGTTTGAACATCTGTAAATATTTTTAAACACTCGAGAGTATAACATGTCACGCATGCGCGTGCGTGCATTGGAATGCGCGAGACTGCATTTCAAAATACTATTATATATATACCTATAAATATTATAAATTATAAACGCACCTGCAGGATAAGATATAAAGAGTTTCGATTGGTCGTTGAGGCCTACAAATATGCACCGCGTTTATAGTTGTGACCTTGCTGCACAGACGATCATCGTCGATGTCGACGCCAGCGAGTGAACACTATTATACTGCAATGTGGAGAGATTATAATTATTTTCTGTATACGACCACAGAGGAGAGGTTGATATACGAAAAAAAAAATACTTGGAATCGATTACTCGTTTTATCACATAAACTTCTAAAAAAATGTCTAAAACCGTACGGACAAATCGATAACATAACTCGATAGTCATACAATGTAAACATAATCAACGAGACTACGAAAAAACATTAAAGTCTTGCGTACCTTCTATAATACAATAAATAGTTGTAGAAAATCATATTGTACAATATATTATTGTAATATATTATGTGATAAAATTGTTTGCATGGAGTGAGCAGAGAGTATGGGGAATAATTTAAAATCACTAATTTTCAGGAATCATATTAAAAGAACATCATATTTCTGTATTGACTTTAATGGATTTTATTGTTAATTTCTTCTAGGTAGGCTAATTTAAAAAAGAAATAATGTCAATCATATTTTGCCAATAAAAACATAACACACTCTATAGGGCATAGAGTAATGACAAAAAATTCCCAAAATGAAAATTTTTCATTTTATCCACGCACCTTCCATTTCGAAATTCAATAGTATACTTAGAAGTAGGGCTTGCAAACGTTATAATAAAGTTATGATTACCTATAACGTTATATTTGATAAAAAAAAACGATTGAAATTTGTAAACGTAATTATAACGGAAAGCGATAATCAAAATTAATTAAATACCGCAGAAGAAAACATAAAGATTAACAAAATATACAATATATCATTAAACAAAACATAGCGCAAAACGAAATATTTTAAAATCTATTTATTTAAAAGGTCTATTATGGTTTGTAGAAACATTTATTTCATGCAAACAATATAAGAAGGTATTTAGTTATTTGTGCATATATGGCTGTATGATAAATATGCAAAATTGAAATTGTAATAAAAAAAAATGTTATATGTAAGTACGTGGAAATAGGATTGCGAGCGAAGCGAGCATTTTTTACTGTGCTAAATAAAACATTTACAATTTGCCTGTTGAGGGCCCTTTTTTCGAAATCGTGGACTGGGCCTTTTCGAACCAGTCCAGGCGCGTAGCCAGGGGGGGTGTTACAGGTGTAGTAACACCCCCCCCCCTCAACCGTGGTGTACTATGTTTTATAATTTAAACCTGGACACGGGCACACGGAATTAGATAATTATTATTTTAGACCATTCTGTGTCAGTTTATCGTTGACTCGTTTCATGTACGATACAAGATATCTTTTAATGCAGAGTATTTACAACTTGTTTACAACTTCATCATAAGAGTGTTACTCTATGGTATCAACTATCATTGGGGATTACAATTTCAATACCTCGACTAGCTATAAACCGAACAAATCGTTTTAGAATTTCAACAGAATCACCGGAAGTCTATTTTAGGATTTTGATTTTTGTACCTTTTTTGGATCATTTCTGTGAGCAACTAAATGACAGATTTTTGAACCATAAATCACTATTAAAACAATTTACTTGTTTAATAAATGCAAATGAAAAAATGATACCGAATTTAAAGAACTTCTTAAGACATATTCTTTAGATATTGAAGCTGATGAAATATCTGCAATTGGTGAGTTTGCAATATGGTATGAAC